AGCAATCTATCAAGAGCAAACAGCACAAATTATCATTAATGGAAGTTTAACTACAAATTTTAGTATAGAAAAAGGCACAAGACAAGGTTGTCCGTTATCCCCGTTGTTGTTTATTCTAACTCTAGAAGTCTTGTTGAATACAGCACAGGACTCGAGCACTTTGAAGGGAATAGTGATAAGGCAAGAGGATTATAGAACAAGGGTATTTGCAGATGACCTGGTTGTTACCCTAACACAGCCGATGGAATCAATAATTCAGATGAAAGACATTCTAGAAGAATATGGTATGGTATCAGGATTCAGACTGAATCAGAAAAAAACCAAGATGATAGTTAAAAATATGACAGTTGATCAAAAGAAGGAACTGAAGAGGAAGGCAGGCTTTGAAATAGTATCAAAGGTGAGATATCTAGGAGTTCAAGTTGCAGATTCAAATATAAAACTGTTTCAAAATAATTATGAGGTGTTGTGGCGAAAGGTACAAAAGGATATGGAAACTTGGAAAAAACTGCAGCTGTCTCTACTTGGAAGAATAGCAGCAGTTAAAATGAATGTTCTACCTAGATTCTTATTTTTGTTTCAAATGATTCCAGTGCTTAAAAATGATAAACACTTGATGGAATGGCAAAAAGGAGTGAATAAGTTTGTTTGGAATGAGGAAAAGCCAAGAGTTAAACTGAAAATTATGCAAGATATTCGTAAAAGGGGTGGTCTTAAACTTCCAAACCTGCGATTGTATTATGAAGCAGCAGCGTTTACACAAGCAAGTGATTGGTTTGGAAGGACAAAGACTGGAATATTGAATATTGAGAGTTATGACCTTGAATTTGGTTGGCATGCATATTTATTCTATGAAAACAAGGTGGATAAAGTATTAAACAGCCATATACTTAGAAGATCCTTGATGAGAGTTTGGAAGAAGCACCGACTCAAATGGGATTATAAAATACCGTTGTGGTTGGATCTTGGTCATATCATACGGAATATAAATATAAAATCACTCGGGGGGGGGGTTATATAAAGAAGTACTTTTTAATGATGGGGGCAGATGGCAATTGAAGTCATTAAACACACTGTTGGAAGAAGGGATTAATCTAACTTGGTTACAGTATAATCAACTTCAACTGAGATGGAGAGAAGATCAAAAAACTGGTTTAATGTTGCATGAAGAAGAATTGGTTAGACAGATAAAAGATAGAGGCCCAATGCATATCAAGAGGGTTTATAATGTTTTGTTAGAAAGAGATTCAGAAAATGAATTGGTTAAAGATTGTATGATAAAATGGGCGCAAAATTTTGGAGAACCAGTTATGATGGAAACCTGGGAAAAAATATGGGTTCAGAATGTTAAATTTACACAGTCGCAGAATTTGAGAGAAAATTTTTATAAAATGTTTTATAGGTGGCATTTAGATCCTTAGAAATTGTCATGCATGTATCCTAATGTTCAACCAAAATGCTGGAGATGTGATTGCTTAGATGCTACATATTATCATATATGGTGGACATGCAAGAAAGCAAAGGCTTTTTGGATAAAAATTTGGTGGGTTATGCAAAACGTTTTGAAGAAAAAAATTCAATTTTCTCCTCAATTGTTTTTATTGGGTATAGTTAAGGGCTTTTCAGTGGGTGAAACAAAATTGATATTGTATATGGTGACAGCAGCTAGGTTATTGATTGGTCAATATTGGAAAAGGGATCAGATTCGGGAAGGCCTGGACTCCGATTGGGTAGATCCAGGGGAGGAGACGGGGGCAGGTCTTGAGAGCGTTATCTGGGAAGAGTTTGATTCTGTGGCTCCTGAGGACGTGGACAGGATTCTGGGCAAGCTTAACGCTGCCACATTGGACTCGTGTCCCTCCTGGTTGGTACTGGCCTCCCGGGAGGTTACACGAGGCTGGCTCCAGGGGATTATAAATGCTTCTCTGAGTGAGGGTATCTTTCCCGCCGCCTTGAAAGAGGCGGTTGTGAAGCCCCTCCTCAAGAAGCCTTCCCTGGACCCGGCTATATTATCAAATTATCGTCCAGTCTCCAATCTTCGCTTTGTTGCGAAGGTTGTTGAGAGTGTGGTGGCACGACAACTACCCCGATACCTGGATGAAGTTGTCTATCTGGATCCGTTCCAGTCGGGCTTCAGGTCACGATACAGTACAGAAACGGCATTGGTCGCATTGGTGGATGATCTCTGGAGGGCTCGGGACAGAGGTTGCTCCTCTATCCTGGTCCTATTAGATCTCTCAGCGGCTTTTGATACCATCGACCATGGTATCTTACTGCACCGGCTGGAGGGGTTAGGAATAGGGGGCACAGTGCTTCGGTGGTTCTCCTCCTTCCTCTCTGACCGTTCGCAGTTTGTGTTGGCAGGGGGGCAGAGGTCGACCTCGAGGCACCTTATCTGTGGGGTGCCGCAAGGGTCAGTCCTCTCACCCCTTCTGTTCAACATTTATGTAAAACCGCTAGGTGAGATCATCCGTGGTTTTGGGGTGAGTGTTCATCAGTATGCTGATGACACACAGCTATACATCTCCACCCCAGACCACCCCAATGATGCCCTTGCTGTGATGTCCCATTGCCTGGAGGCCGTGCGGATCTGGATGGGGAGAAACAAACTCAGACTCAACCCCTCCAAGACCGAGTGGCTGTGGCTTCCGGCGTCCCGGTATAGTCAGCTGGTACCATCACTGACAATAGGGGATGAGATCTTGCTCCCCACAGAGAGGGCCCGCAACTTGGGTGTCCTCCTGGATTCACGGTTATCTTTAGAAGATCATTTGACGGCCGTGGCCAGGGGTGCCTTTTATCAGGTTCGCCTGATCCGCCAGTTGCGTCCCTTTCTGGATCGGGACGCCTTGCGCACGGTCACTCATGCCCTAGTTACCTCCCGTATGGACTACTGTAATGCTCTCTACATGGGGCTCCCCTTGAAAAGCACCTGGAGACTCCAACTGGTCCAGAACGTAGCCGCGCGGGTGATTATGGGCGCAGCTCATTACGCCCATGTAACACCTACGCGAGGTGCACTGGCTCCCGGTGGTCTTCCGGGTGCGATTCAAGGTGTTAGTTATCACCTTTAAAGCGCTCCATGGCTTAGGACCTGGGTACCTACGAGACCGTCTTTTGCCACCAATAGCCTCCCACCGACCAGTTCGTTCTCACAGGGAGGGACTACTCAGGGTACCGTCAGTCAAATTATGTCGACTGGCGACTCCCCAGGGGAGGGCCTTCTCTGTGGGGGCTCCAACCCTTTGGAATGAACTGCCCCCGGAGATACGGAATATCCCTGATCTCCGTGCTTTCCGCCGTGCCCTCAAGGACCCTGATGTTCCAAGAGGCGGGGCTAAACATACAAACATGCGAATGATTTTTTAAATGTTATCTAATTCTGGGTTTTATTTAATTGACCAAACTAAGTAACAATTTTAATTAGCAATTTTATGATGTTTGTGTGTCTATATTTTTCTTGACTGTACACCGCCTTGAGTCCTACGAGAGAAAGGCGGTATAGAAATATAATAAATAAATAAATAAATAAATAAATAAATAAATAAATAAATAAATAAATAAATGGAATATAAATATAAAGTCACTCGGGGGGTTATACAAAGAAGTACTTTTTAATGATGGGGGCAGATGGCAATTAAAGTCATTTGAAGTCAACACACTGTTGGAAGATGGGATTAATCTAACTTGGTTACAGTATAATCAACTTCAACAGAGATGGAGAGAAGATCAAAAAACTGGTTTAATGTTGCATGAAGAAGAATTGGTTAGACAGATAAAAGATAGAGGCCCAATGCATATCAAGAGGGTTTATAATGTTTTGTTAGAAAGAGATTCAGAAAATGAATTGGTTAAAGATTGTATGATAAAATGGGTGCAAAATTTGGAGAACCAGTTATGATGGAAACGTGGGAAAAAATATGGGTTCAGAATGTTAAATTCACAGAGTCGCAGAATTTGAGGGAAATTTTTTATAAAATGTTTTATAGGTGGCATTTAGATCCTAAGAAATTGTCATGCATGTACCCTAATGTTCAACCAAAATGCTGGAGATGTGATTGCTTAGATGCTACATATTATCATATATGGTGGACATGCAAGAAAGCAAAGGCTTTTTGGATAAAAATTTGGTGGGTTATGCAAAATGTTTTGAAGAAAAAAATTCAATTTTCTCCTCAATTGTTTTTACTGGGTATAGTTAAGGGCTTTTCAGTGGGTGAAACAAAATTGATATTGTATATGGTGACAGCAGCTAGGTTATTGATTGATCAATATTGGAAAAGGGATGATATGCCTACAATTCAAGAATGGACTTTGAAGATGGCCAGTTTTGCAGAAATGGCGAAGATATCAGCATATTTAAAAGATTGGACTCACGAGACTTATGTATGGGAATGGAAGAAATGGATAGATTATGTGCAGAATAAATATCAAACTAGGAAGTACCAGATAGCTTTTAGCTGAATGTTGTGTAGAAATGTATAGTATACAGGGGGCAATATAGCTTATTGTTATGTAGAAATGTATGGTGCACAGGGGGGAGAATAGAGGGGTGGTAAAGTATGTTATAATACAATGTGGACGGATTTCACCTTGGGGAAGTCATGGGAGGAGCGGAGGGTTTGGGGGGTTAGGGAGGGATGGGGGGGGGAAATGGGGAAAAATTGGTATTTGTAAAACTTTTTCAATATATATATATATATATATATATATAATATATATATATATATATATATATATATATATATATATATATAGGAAATACTAATGCTCTGATGGTCATTTCGAAAAATCCTTTCTTAGTGAGCATCTAGAAGCCAAGAGGAATATACGTGGCAAATTTATTCCACTGAATTTAACAATTTCTGGACTGAGATTTCTTACAGAACAGTGATACATAAATATTTATTCAGTTGACAATGCTGTGTTTATTTAATAAAAGATTAAAATGTGCTTTGAATTTAGCTATTCTTTAACAGATATTATGAATTTTCCTGTAGGAAGAAAATGACTCCATTAATGTATGCAGCCCGAGAAGGCCATTCTCAAGTTGTTGCTCTCCTTGTTGTTCATGGATCACAAGTAAATGCCCAAGATACAGGCGGTTACACTGTGAGCTTTTTGTATAATCCTAACTAGATTATTTACTTTCCTTTATGAAACTTCAAATATTTCAACAAGGTAGACTTTAAAGATATGGGTTTTTTCCCCCCATCACTGGCAATTTTTACTGCTCCAGCACTGCTATTGTGAAGTGGAAAATAAATGGAAATGTTGTCTTGGGCTTAATGTAGACAAATAAAAAGCAGAGCAGAGCTAGGTGAAAAAAAGGAAAATTCTAGTTCTTCTCAAGAGTGTAACACAGCTTTATTTATTTATCAAATTTATATGGCTGCATATGTCACCCAAGATGATACTGAAAGGTGTACAATCAATAATTATAAAACCAATTAAACAATTTTATGACCAAAATTGCGAGAGAATTAAAATGAAATTATTATGTGTAATGTAACCTCTGCATGGGCTTCCTGTTGCGAGAGGATTCCCCAGGCCTGATGGAAAACTCATGTTTCGAGGGCTTTCGGGAGGCTATAAGATTTGGGGTTAACCTTGCCTCAGGGCTATATTCTTTTTTTTTTTTTAAATAAATTTTATTAAGTTTTCCAAGTTAAAATCAACATAAGACAAAAAACATTGATTATACATAAAAACAAAAACCATACATTCCCCTCCCTCCCTCCCCCATTCATAACACTAAACATACAGACACGTGTATCCCGGCAGATAATATTCCTGCCCTCATTAATAAATAATTATGCCCACAACACAGAATAAAGTAAATACTCCCCAAATATGGTTTTCTTACAAATATCTTTCAATCTAGATAAGTATATCTCTCCTCATATTGACTTATGCCCTCACTTCATCTCAATCCTTTTATTCAACCACCAATACCAACTGTCTCAACTTTGAAAAAATTAAGAATCCTCTTTTTCTTTCAACCTATACGTCATTCTGTCCGCTTCAGCGCACTCTAATACTTTATTTATAATTTGGGCACTAGCCGGTATCTCTTTTTCTTTCCACTGTTGGGGGAACACTATTCTAGCTGCGACTAAAATATTTAGAGTGAGATACCATTTTTTCTTACTCAGCCCCTCTGGGCGAATATCTAGTAAACATATCTCAGGTTTCCATTGGAGGTCCACATTAGTAATTTCCTTAATCCAATTCCTAATCCTTCTCTAATACCTCTTTGCCATTATACAAGTCCACCATTGATGGAAATACGTACCTCTGGTTTTCCCACGTTTCCAACATAACTCTGATGCACCTGGAAACATTTTAGCAATTCTTGTTGGTGGAGAGGTGCCACCTATACATCATTTTATATGCATTTTCCTTGAAAGACGTTGCCATAGTCATTTTAATATTTCCCCCCCACATTTGTTGCCATTTTTCTAAAGGAATTGAGTACCCAAAATTCCTCTCCCAGGCAATCATAGTGTCTTTTACAACCTCCTCTCCTATCATTCGCTCAAGCAATTGTGCATACATTTGGTTATGTATTTATGGTCCTCTCCCATTAATATTTTATTAAAACTCTGTTCCATCACATGTATCCCGTAATTATCTCTATCTTTCCTGTAACGAGATTGAACTGTAGCATAGGTCCACCAATCTAGCCTAATTCCTTTATCAGCCAAATCTTCCCTGGATCTTAATATCCCTTGGGCATCTACAAGCTCTTTATATCTATAAATATTATCCTGTTTAAGAATTGTTGGATATATCGTCGCTTCTGTTGCTGAGAACCAGGTTGGGATCTTGGTATAAAATTTTCCTCTAATTATGTCCCAGGTTTCCAGCAATATTCGCCTTAAATAATGTCTCTTAAAATACTTATACTGTTGAGCTTTCTCTCTCCATAACAGTACATGCCAACCGTGTTGTAGGTCGTGTCCTTCTAAATCTAATAAAGACCTCCTCTTCAATAACATCCATTCTTTCATCCAGGCTAGCAGTGAAGCTCAGTAGTATAGTTCCCAGCAGGGGAGGCCGGAGCCCCCCCTCTCTCAATGCTCCTGTAACATTTTGAGCTTCACCCTAGGCTTCTTCCCCTGCCAGATAAATTTCAGCACGACTCGATCCAAACCTTCAAAAAACCTGTTATCTAACCTCATTGGAGCTGATTGAAATAAAAATAGCCATTTGGGTAAAACATGTATCTTAATTGCTGCTATCCGTCCCTCAAAGACAACTGTAAATTTTTCCACTTCTCCAGGTCTCTTACAGTCTGATCATATAATTTAACTCATAAAATCATATAATATAGCCTCAGGGCTATATTCCAAAGGATGAGTGCTATAGCAAAAAAGGCATCCCTCTTCTGCTGGACCTGATGAGATGGATAGATGTAAGTGAAAAGACGCAGTCCTTCAGATAATCTGGTCCCATGCCATGTAGGTCAAAAACAGCACCTTGAATAGAACCTGGGAACAAACTGGTAACCAATGCAGCTCAAGGAGCAGAGGTGCAACATATATTTTTCTATATGTTTCTAGATAACTGCCCATGCTGTTACAGACTTCGACTCAACCCTGCCAAGATCGAGTGGCTATGGGTACCGGCATCTCGGTCCATAGGAGAGGTTCCATCGCTGGCTATAGGGGGTGAAGTTTTACCCCCTATAGACAGGGCACGCAACTTGGGTGTCTTCTTGGACTCACAGTTGAGTTTAGAAGACCATATAACGACCGTGACCAGGGGGGCATATGCCCAGATCCGTCTGGTGCGCCAGTTGCTCTCCTCTTTGGACCGAGATGCCCTACGCATAGTTACTCATGCGCTAGTCACCTCCCGTATTGACTACTGTAACGCTCTCTACATGGGGCTGCCCTTGAGGACCGCTCAGAGGCTTCAGCTGGTGCAAAATGCAGCCGCGCGGGTTGTGATGAGAGAATCCCGATACTCCCATGTAACACGTCTCCTGCGTGACGTGCATTGGTTGCCGGTTGCCCTCCGGGTGAGATTCAAGGTGCTGGTGATGACCTATAAAGTCCTACATGGCTTAGGCCCAGGATATTTGGCGGACCACCTGCAGCCAGCAACAACATCCCATCACCTGGTTCGCGCCCATAGGGAGGGCCTGCTCAGGGTGCCGTCGGCGAGACAATGTCGACTGGCAGCCCCCAGGGGTAGAGCCTTCTCTGTGGGCATGCCCTGGTTACTTGAGTCCCCCGGCCTGGATTGATGGGGTTTTATATGGCTTTTTTAGTTTTATCTGATTTAATTAGGCATTTTAACTTTGTATAATGGATTATTGTGGTTTTTATTGTTGTGAGCCGCCCTGAGTCCGTTGGGGATAGGGCGGCATATATGCATGCATGCATGCATGCATGCATGCATGCATGCATAAATAAATAAATAAATAAATAAATAAATAAATAAATAAATAAATAAATTTTGTACCAGCTAAAGCTTCCATATACTCTTCAAGGGCAGCCCCACATAAAGGATGTTACAGTAGTCCATTCAAGAAATGACTTTAAGCAAAGCCTCATGACCCAGGAATAAGGTGGACAACGTTTTGTACAATTTAATTTATGTGCTCCCATATTGCACCTCAGTCAAACCCGTTATCTTTAGCCTCACTTTTTTCCCATATTTCCTTTCTTCTCTGTTCTTCCTATTACAAATTTTTATTTTAAACTTTGGCAAGACGTGATGCTGAATTGGGATATGAAGACAAACTACTCGTATGCCTTATATAGAGTGGGATCATTCAGAAGTAATGTATTTTATTTATTTTATTTATTCGTCAAGAACATATTAGGTAATATATATAAGTATAAGCATGAATTGAATATATAAAATAGATACAAATAGAGGAAACATTAGGAGAGGGACGGTGGGCATGCTGGTGCTCTTATGCGTTATATAGAGTGGGATCATTCAGAAGTAATGTATATTCTGAAATTTTTATTTTTAGTATTGTAAAATAAATATCACAATTGCTAATAAATCATTACAGGCATTAACATGGGCAGCATGCCAGGGTCATAAAAAAGTAGTATTCAAACTGCTTGAACTTGGAGCTGATAAATCAATACAGACAAAAGATGGACAGACCCCAGGAGAGATTGCAAAGAAGAATAGGCATTTAGAGGTACTGTTCTATGTGAAGAATCAATCCTTGAGTTGAGATGTTTTAATTGCAGTAGGGGTATATTTTATAAAGAGTTTTTAAACATCAAAACAGATATGAGTTATTTACTGTTCATATTAATATGAATGTGCAGTGCAATTAATGTTTATGCAATTGTCAGTAATATCAAGTGCACTAATGTCTTAAAATGTCTTTTATTTTTAAAAATGCTCTATCCTTATTTTTATACCTATTATGTATCTGCATATATATTCATTTACCTGTTATTCAAAAAACGTGCCTAACATTTGGGTTAGTGAACATCTGCATTTGCTTCTATTAAGATACTAATTAAAAGAGAACAGAAAACAGGAACAATCAACTTAGTGTGAAAAGATAAAAATTTCATGAATTTGTATGTCTGAAAATAGACTACACATTTGGCGTTTTATTAGAGAATTGTTCTAAACCTAAGTAAGGTTTAACTGAAGGATTTGGACAAGCAAGGCAAAGGTAGTTTAAGATACGATAGATAGTTCACAGTTTAAGAAATACAATTTATTTATTTTTTTTTAAAAAAATCCTTACATAGATAACAATAATTCTACCTTTACTGGGGGAAAAAACTATAGATCCAATTTATTGGTGTATTTCCTTTTTGTGTGTGTATTTTCAAGTTATTGGGTTCAAATGACTAGATATCTGAACAAGTCCCTGCAGGTTTTTTGACAACATTTTCAGAAGTGTTCTAAAGGTGCTTTTTTCAACTCCAAAAAAAGACCCAGCAGGAGCTCCTAATAACAGACAAAGAAGGGAACAACAAACGAAGAAACATTGTCATTCCATACATTGCAGGAATATCGGAAAAGTTTAGGAAGATTTTCAACCAATACAATATACATACACACTTTAAATCCCATAATACACTAAGGCAGAAGCTTGTCCACCCCAAGAATAAAATACCCAGACACAAACTGAGCAATGTGATATTTGCAGTAAAACACAATGAAAAATGTATAGCTCTATACATTGGAGAAATAAACACATGGCACAACATAGGAGAACAAACCCATCAGGACAAGATTCAGCAGTCCATCTTCATTTGAAAGAGAAAGGTCACTCTTTTGAAGATAGAAAAATCCACATTCTGGATAGAGAGGACCGCTAGTTTGAAAGAGAGGTCAAAGAGGCCAGTTACATTAAGATTGAATAGCTCTCTCTCAACGGGGAGGGTTCCACACCACCTATCTCCTGTTCACAGTACGATACTATCAGCAGTTCCAAGAAGGTTCCACGCCCATTTGCACTATTCAAGTGACTGAGGGCACAGATAAACCTCCAAGTGGCCTTAATGACTCTCAGAAAGAGTGCTAACAACCAAATGACTGCAAGGAATATAAATCTTTCCATCCTCCACCATTCAGTCAGAACTGAAGAAGATTCTTGGATGAGAAGCAAAATGTCTTCAAGGAAAAATAAAGTCCAGTTGCCTTTTGAAAAAAAGCACCTTTGGGACAACCATGACCCAGATGATTGACAATCTCCATAGATACTTTCAGGAGTGCTTGCCACTGGCTTCCTCTCGCTGAGAGAGAGTAACTGGTCCAAGGGTTGTTCAGCTATCTAATTTCTAGCTGGTACTTTAAGCAGTGCTCCAAACTTGCTACTTTATTTCCAGTAAGTGTTTTAAGTATTTGCATTCTCTTTATATGGGATACAAACTACTTAATATTGCCATTAAATAGTTTATCTCTCTTTTTTAAAAAAAAAATGCAGGACATTTAAAAATGCTTGGAGCATTTACCTCCTCTTGGTTGCCATAAACCTCTCTGTAATTCCATTTTCTTTGAAAGAATGCTTCCAAGCATCTCAAAATATTTTGTTTTCATAGGCTAAATTTACTGAAATTCATTACATAGGGTATGTATAGGGTATATCCCTATAGAAACCATTTTTTATGTTTTCTATAATAAACATGGTTTTCCTGATATCTTATCAGTTCAATAAATCTTTTAATTTAACATCTTGGAATTGAGAAATAATTTCAGATAGTTTTCTTTGAAAAGGTCAATTAGGAGAAATTGTTGTATTAGAAAATAATTTTCACTGTGTCAATGAATTCCCAATTTCTTTTGTTCTAGAATGAACATATTGCCGAAGGTATAAAAATGGTGAAAATTGTTTCCTGTGATTTTTCATAGCTTTTCAGTTTACTTTCTTTGACGGCAAATCCTTTCCAAAGAAAATTCCAGAACCTGAGTAAAGAAGAACCTATTCACAGATTTATGACTGCAGTTCCAGATGCCCTTAAAAGCCATAAAAGCAGGTAGTATTTCATACTTCAGAACTTAAGTTTTGAAAGTTGTATTCTAATTTAAATCTTTGCTCTAGATAAAAACTGCTATTACACTTGACATGGACAGTTGTTCAGATCTTCTATCAAAATTCCTATGAGCTACAGTTTTGCACTGCTAATGCTAACCAGATTGTGCTTGAATGTTTAAATTGATATAGAGTCTTTGGAAATTAAGGATTTATGCATACCTTAATGCTGGATTATTGGGAACATAATCATCTATTGGTTTCTAATATATAGTGTAATAATTTACCTGACATGCATCAAATTCATTTTTACTTTTGGAAAAAATTAATACAGATATAGAGCTGTAATGGCAAACCTATGGCAAGTGTGCCCGATATAGCACACAGAGCCATCTTTACAGGCACATGAGCTCTCACCCAACTCACCTGCAGATGCGCATGCGCTCACGCCCTAGCTGGTGTTCAGGCCTCCAGTATGCATGCACGGAATTCAGGAGACCCAGCTGGTCTTCGGAGATCTCTGTACACATGCATAGATTGTGCTCACACGCGTGCATTGCATGCGTGAAAACCGCACACATGCACAGATGGTGCAATTGGGCACGCAGTACATGGGAGCCACGTGAAATCTGCATGCATGCGCAGATGGTGTGATTGCACATGCAGCACATGGGGGAGCTGTGCGAAAGCCACACGTGCAAATTGTGTGATTGCATGCGCAGCACATGGGGAGGAGCCGCATGTTAGCACGGATAGCACATGCGCAAAGCGCGTGTTTGGCGCTCGGTGAGTAAAAGGTTTGCCACCACTGTTATAGAGCATGCATTTTGAAACCGCAACATAATTTTATATAGAATCAGATTTGGGCTAGATCCAGTATTTCAGAACAAGTATGTGCTTTCAAATGTTCCATTCACCGTAATGGAAAATTTACAGCCCAATATTTAGGCTTTTTTTGTCTTTCTGTGTACTTAAAATGTAGAGAAATATATTTTAGAATTTGTAAAATGGATTAATAATAGCATTTCTTTCTTTGAAACAAATAATTTATTTTCTTAGTTTTAGTTTAAAACATTTATTAAAATTATTTATTTACATATTTTAAAATAATTGAACCAATGCATGTGAAAAGTTCCTATGCAGCTTTTAGTGACATGGAAGTCTTTCTACATGGTCTTGAACTTGAACACATAACAGAATTACTGAAGGTAAGAATTTTTTATTGAAAACATGGGTGGGGTAAAATCTGAATTGAATTATTCAGGGTGGGGATAATTAATTTATTGCCATTGTATAATAACATGAGCTGCGTAATTTGTGTGGAAATTTGCATCATTTGTAATATTTAAATAATTACATTGATATGAAAGAGATAGTCTAGTGCCGTGATGGTGAACCTATGGCACACGTGCCGGAAGTGGCACGCAGAGCCATGTCTCCAGGCGCACCAGCTGTTGCCCATTGCTGTTCCGGGTTCCAGCACACACGTGCGCTGGCCAGCTGGTGTTTGCGCACACAGGAGTGCCGGAAACAAGAAGAGCAGCTCCCTGGTGTGCATGCATGCACCAGGAAGCTGAGCTTCCGGCATCCATACTAGCCAGGTGATTTTCATGCACGCATGCGCACCAGAAACTAGAAGGCCAGGTGATTAGCGCGCATGCACATGCTGGAAAATGGAAGCTCAACTTCCTGGCGCATGCATGCACGGTGGGGGACTGCTCTTCCAATTTCCAGCGCTCCCCTGCATGCTTACGCTCCCGAAAAGGTTCGTCAACACTGGTCTAGTGGTTGAGGCACCATACTAGAAAGCAGGAAACTGAGTTTAAGACCTCCTTAGCTATGAAAACCAGCTGAGTGACTTGGGACAGTCTCTCTCCTCACAGGGTTGTTGTGGGGAAATTAGGAGGAGGAAGATGTGTTGGATATGTTTATCACCTTGATTTGTAAAAAAAAATAAATAAAGGTGGGATACAAAATGAATAATGTCATTTGTTTAATGTCATAATGTACATAATATAAAGAATTGTGCTTCCTTCTTTTAAATGCCATACTTCCTGATTACTTTAGATGCAGTGGATACCCCATAAGTAGATTCTTTTATTTATTTATTTTTGTATTTTTTTATCAGGTCCACTAAATTGAGGTTTCATAGTAATATATTACTGTACAATTCAAAATGTCACTGTTTAGGTTTAATCCAGAAGTTCAAGCATTCATGTGACTAATTGTTCATAATATTCTGGGAGAAGTAAATTAAAATAGCTTCTGAGTTTGTTTTTCTGTGTTCAAGAAAGGATTCTCCCTGCCAGCTTCCCATAAGAAAACTCAGTGGGGAACCTGGCAGGAAGTTGGAAATCGTTGCCACTGGTTTTTTTTGCCCGCCTATGGTCATTCTTTTTCTAAATTGAGGTGAGGAAATATTTCTGAAATGATGACCCAATATTGTGTAATGCAAATTAAAAGTGTCTTCTGAGTTTGTTTTTCTGTGTTCATTATGAAAATACTTGGAAGTTTAATACTAAGGTGGGTTACTGACCTACATAATAGGATCTTGGTCCAAAGTATCTCTGGGAAAATACTTTCGTCTCTTATAGGAGAGAGAAATACCTTTAAGACAGCTTTTGACAATGGGAAAAGAAGACTTAATACAGGTTAGCCTACTTATTTATTGTTTATTTGCTCTTATTACAACAATACTGTTTTAAATTTTAATTCTGTATTTTTTCACTTCATAACAACACATTTCAATACTGATTTGCATTTTGTTTTGAGAAGAGTATCTTCTGTTTAACTGATTTGAATGTCTAATTGTTCCTTTTTTTTTCACAGAAAAAAGGTTAGGCTGGATATGTGCTTTAATAGAAATTAGTGTTATACAAAGGATCGGTTGATACAATCATTTATAGCTTTATCAGTACATGTTTTGTACTCAGTTGAAATTATTGGTAATTTGAGTAAGATGGAGAATGTTCAATATGTATGTGTGATTGATAATAATGTGAATAAAATGGAAAATATTTTAGAAAGAAAGAAAGAAAGATAGATAGATAGATAGATAGATAGATAGATAGATAGATAGATATAGATATAGATATAGATATAGATAAAGATATATACACATACGCACACACACCAAGAAAATGAAGTGTATAAAATGTGCTGCATTGTATCAGCATTATTTTGTGCAAAACTAATTGACAGGTTCTTACCTTGATAGCAACATTGTCAAGTGTAAAATTTCAAATGCATAATTAATATTTGAAGGATTTTTATTTTATTGATAAAATAATTTGAATGTTTAACATTTTAAATCTTATAAATGTTTTTAAATTTTTAGATTGGCATCAACAATACTAGAGATCAACAAAAAATTTTAGATGCTGTTAAAGAACTACATATAGAAGAAGTAAAGTTGGAAGAACTATCTGCAGTGACAAACTTGGAATTCAGGTAAAATAGCGTTAAAAAGAAAGATGAACCATTTCTTTAACTAAAATAGTAATAAAGATCATACTCATATTTAATAGATTATTATTTTGCAAAGATCTAGTGTGAAATACTAAAGCTTATGCCATTATAAATTAATTGGTTTTTATTTAGTCTTTTTCTTTTGCAGCAAACTAAATATCTACTCCCTGGAAACTTTCTGAGTTTGCAATTAAGTTTTTTAAAAGACTGTTGTTAACTCATTCATTTTTCAGAGCTGAGGATATTCATTCTCATATGACCTTAGAGTGAGCAATGTCCTCACCCATTATGCATATGCATAAAATAAGAGAATAAGACTACCAAGTCATTATTGTAAATAAATTAGTTTGATAGTAATTCCTTATCTGAAAGTAAGTACTACATTTGCATTTCTGATTCTCCTAGTTGCAGTGATGAAAGCTAAAATTTTAAAGAATATACCTGTTTTAGTATAAATTAATAATTGTTTAACATTTTTGTTACAGTGGTGATGAATTTCTTTCCTTTCTTATGAAACTAAAAAGACAATGCATTCAACTTAAAACTTCTGTGCAGAATGTTATTAGTCAGTTTCCTACAGATGCTCATAAGGTACAATATTCATCTAAATGTATTTTTTCAGAACACCATTCTTCACTTAAGTAAAATTAATTTAATTAATTCCCCACAAGGGAATGGCTGTGGGCTGGATCTCTTGCTCCATATTAACACTGATTGGGACAGACATTGGAGAAAGGAACTGAAGTAACACAATACTGTGCTGCCTAGCCCCAAAAGGGTACTGTGGTTGATGTTATCAAAAGCTACTAAGATGTCAAGGTGAACAAGGATGGTGCACTGTCCCCTCCCACTCTCGCCAGAGTTTTATTTTTATTTATTCATTTGCTAAATTTATTTACTGCCTATCTTGCCATGGGGTTACTCTGAAACTCTTAAAACAATAAAAAGGAAGAATTGAAAAAGTGTAAACAGAACAAATGTAAAATAATAGAATAAAAGAAATAATGAAAAAAGAAAGTGAGAATATAGCGCTATGATAACAAAAGGATGGGTGGAAAGCAGAGGGCAAGGGGTGGGTGGGTGAAGTCTGCCATCAATCCAGCAGCCACCTCCAGTGAGGAACTCCATTTGCTCCCCCAGGCCACCCAGCAGAGCCAGGTCTTCAGGCCTTTGTGGAAGAATAGAAGGGGGGGGGGTTGGATTTTTTCCTAGAGAGTAAGATGTTCCAAAGGACGGTGCTATGCAAAGATGGCTTTTCTTCTGGATCGCGATAGTCGAAATTCTTTGAACGATAGGATCCAAAGTAGGCCCTCTCTGCCACCACGAATAGGATGGGCTTGTCCTAGCAGGATGAGAAATCATCCACAAGCATAACCAGTGCTATTTTTTTCCCCATAGTCAGGCCTGAAGCCCGACTGTTATCTTGTACCAGGACAGTGAAATCAGAAAATATATTATTAAATAAACAATAAAACTGCACACTTACGGTAACAATTTATAGTCCTGTGGAAGAACAGTATGTGAAGGGAAAATGTCATTTGGGACGCATGCCAGGCACTATCCAGAAAAAGATTTATTTTTCCAAGTGACTGGTCTGGAATTTCCATTGCTAAATGATGCAGTCCGAAAGCATTTTGTCACCTGACTGCATCAGTTAGTGTCGGCACTCCCCATTGCCACTTAAGCAAGGATCACAGGTCACTTAGTGAGTGCCAGACAGGCAGGTAAGGCATGAACGGATGGTTTTCTGCTTGGCGAGGGGAAGGTGCATGAGTGGCCAGCACTGAGAGCTAGAGAAGGATCTAAGCAACTGGAGCAATTGTGACCTTCCCTGCTGGCTTACCCGTTTCGCTTGCTTGTAGGAAGCTGGCAGGGATGGTCTCAATGGCAATCATGTGACTGGGATGCTGCATCCATCCTAAGTGCAAACTGGTTGCTCAGTGTCCAGATTGCAGTTATCTGGCCATGGGCATATTGGGTGGGCCAGAACTTCAGGAACCTGTTGTTAGTCTCCTTTGTCCTCTAACAGTTGCTGAATGAATGGTCTGTAAGCAAGGACTACCTTTTTTTTTTTTTTTCTATTGAAGAAGCTTATCAGTTTGCTTAAAAGAACACAGCAGGCCTTACCAACTTGAGGTTCCATAAAGAAGCAAAAGATCTAAAAGAATTGAATTAGTCACTCAGTGTCACCTTCGACTAAACCAGCATTCAAGATGGACCCCAGGGCATGACAAATCACCAGATGTGATGTATTTTCCATTATGAAGAACTAGTTTGATCCATTTGGGTTGATAGTTCTGGGGAAGTCTCTGGTAAAAAGTTATCTTCAAATGTATGATATTGGGATATAGTACTGCCTGTATCATGATGATGATGACGATGATAATGAAATGCAAGAATGGAAACACATATCCATGGAAACAAATATCATATATTTTCCCCTTTCTCCTATTATAACTCAGCATAAAAAAGTTAAAGCCATAGTAGTAATAACTGATCTGATTGTCATTGACCACAGAAAGAACACACCATATAGAGCTTACTTTTGGTAAGTTGAAGCTAATACCTCAGCCTGAACAAGGTATAATTCTTACACTAAAAATATTACCAAGTACCAGAGCAAATAATAAGTGAAATATACATACAAGATAAAAGTCAAGTTTTAAACCAATGATAAAGCAGTACCAGTTAGCATATGCACCCACACTAGAAGATCCTCTGTAACAAGTATCGAGATTGAACTAAGTAATAAGATTGAACATACCAAGAGATCAGCACACCAAAACAAACCATACAGACCAGACTACAAAATGATACCTGCAAAACAACTTGTGCAAACAATATGACTTACAAAGTTATAATTCTTCCTAAAATATAAAAATGTAACACAAATATAGGTAGTCCTCAGCCTATGATCATTTGTTTAAGATAGTCCAAAGTTATGACAGCCTTGGAAAAAGTGCTTTATGGGCTGTTACAAAACTGTTACAAAATGTCACATGATTGCAATTCAGTTGCTTGGCCACCTCGCATTTTTACCTGTGGAAGAATCCAGTCACGTGATTGTGATTTGCAACGTATTTTGCAATTCCCATTGACCACATGATTTGCATAACAATCATTTTAAAGGTGGTCATAAAACTTGAGGATTCACAATGGAAATTCCAGTCCCTATTGTTATTGTAAATTGAGAACTATTTTTAAAACTCTTCACATTATTGGAATCTCTATCTGAGTAGATAGCTGTTCTCAAGTAGAGGGATTTGCCAATATTTCATCTAAAAATCACCTTGACATGCATTACTTTAAACATTTCTTAAAATGCTCAACTCTCTTACAAGCTGTAACACATCTTTTCCATGATGCATCATATTTTCACCTGAATCCAGAGGCTATCCCTTACGTTTGCTGTTGCTTGCATATCAGCACAAAACCACACTCACTCAGTGAACTTGATTGAGGATGGAAAATCCTCTCTAAAATGTGGCAGGAAGCTTGTATGGGAGACGCTTATTCAAAACCTCAAAATGTGTATGTGCGTGTATATTTTTCAACCAATAAAATTTTGCAATAGTGAAATTATACCAGTGGAATGCAGTTCATATGTAACTGTAATTAAGACATTTTTAAATTTCTTAGTTGGTTCTTGAATGGAGTCCACCCCATAGTCTTGCTACAGTGTGTGAAGAACTAATTTTGAATGCTGAAGATCTGACCGCAGAGGCTGTAAAACTAAAAATGCTCATGAATAAGGTACATTTATGAATAGAGTACATATGATAATTACCAATAGAGCAACACATTTCTAAGAATTAATTCATTCAGGTTGTATGGTTGTTACGTTTTAATAATACTCTGCCCACAGTCACTTTGTGAGGTAGATGGGCCGTCTCCAAATTTGATAAATAAATAAATAATGAATTAATAGATTTGGTAGACTGAGTTCAGACATGTCAATTCTAATATTCTAGAATTTGCCATTATAGAGTACGTCCTAGCAGTGATAGCTGAGACAGTCAACTTCGTTAAGAAAAGCGATTGCTAAGTGAATGAGCTTACTATCTTCAGATTTCCTTTGCTTCATAGGCCTATGAATGGTTACTAAATGAGAAAGTCAGTAAACAAGGACTATCTGTAAAAAGCAAAATATAGGTAACTAAGAAAAAAAAAATAAGGATGCGGCCATGCAATTTGGAAACACAGTAGTCTTTTCCTGTTCAGAATTGCCAGTGAGCAGATACAGCAAAATTAATTAGCTTTTAGCAATTGCAAAGCTGCGTTTCTGCTATTTAAATAAAATATTCTGTTACAGAAGGCTAAATTTTAATTTTTTTGGAATATAGTGGTATAGATTTCTAACATTTTTTCTTCTTCTATTCAATACACTTTTATCAGCTCCAAGATGGGCAGAATGATGATCCTTGCCGAATGCAACCTTTGGAATATAGCAGATGGAAGACAACTTTTTTAAAAATAGCAGTACTAACTGTGGTTGGGTCTGGATGTGTTTTCTTTATTTTCAAGTTATCTCTAAAGAAAAATTGAATTAAAATAAGATTTTATGTATAGTTGATAAAGCTAGGTAAATCTCAAGTTTTAATTTTAAAAGGTACATTGATTTTCACCATTTCTAAGTTAAGCATACAGCTCTCTTGCACCAACAGATTATAATATTGAAGTTGACCTATTTTTGCTACCAGTAGTGGGATGTTTCAACCCTTACAAAATGTAAGGGTAGGGGATAGGTATTGGAAGCAAAATGCTTCCACTTCCATTTATATAACCTCTTTGTCATGCACAAATACACTCCAGGTACAAAGTCACTCAGCTGACTTTTGCTCTCTTTGCTATCACATTCTGACAGCTTGATTTGGGGTTAAAGCAGGAACGGGAGCAATTTGCCTCTCACTGTTATAATTTGAAAAAGGGTGTGTTGGTGAAAGCTCTGCTGTAAATTGGCAGTGTCCCTCAGAATAGTCATGAGGTTGTAACCTCTACCTTCATATATTAGTCATCACTACAATAAATCCCAATTTTTAGATTTTCAAATTTTAAATCCATATGAATACATGTATATGTTTCAGATACATATTTATATGCATATAATGTAACTGAGTAAGCACTATTTTTTATTTATTAGTCTATGCCTCCAAGTTATCCCTATACTGCCAATAGGAATGTTTTATTAACTGTTGAGTTCTTTTATTTCTCTATATATATCATCATTAGATTATTATTTTTTTTTGCATATTTCAAACAGACAGGAAATAACTTATTCTCTCATACTAACATATTTGACTGTTATTAATGATTTCTTCATGGATTCTATCTGTGGAAGTTGTCTTATTTTAGGAAAACTGGGTAGAAGATAAAAAATAAAGTAAACCTTGATCTTGTTTATGTTTTTTTGCAATGGCACAAGTTTTCTTAGTTTGCATTCTGACATTGCTACAAGAAGTTAATATTCAAGAATGTTACTTTTGTCTGGATTTGCTTACTTCCTGATCTGAGTTTTATTTTTAAAAGCTAGATTAAAAGCTCACAATGAAATTTCTTTATAATTATAGCAATATAATTGCTTAATATGTAAAACGCCTCCTTAGCTTTGGTTCATGTACTTTACAAGGCTGTCATTGTTTAATTTTATGCTATACCATAAACCACAATGGTTAGATTTATACATCACATGGTATAGTTTGAATTAACATTGAACACTGATTCCAATCGCTGTAGATTTCCCAAATGCTTGCCCTTTCATTGCAGGTTTATTTTTCACATTCGCTATATATTTTATGCAGTGCAAGTAACTGAGATCAATAACCAAATGTGCTATAATAGAAAGGACTTTGTTAGTTAAATCACCATGGGCTACTTATGAGAGAATCTTTGTGAGGAGTTGTCACATGTATATTCCTTGTTCTGTTAAAACACTACTATTGGGGTCTACATTATTATGTATACAAATTGTTATTGAAATTCTCAAGAATACTTTATTTTAAAAACTGAAAGAACATTCCGTAAACTCACTTAAGTTTTATGACTTATAATGATACTAAGTGCATTTTAAAATCAGATATGACTTAACAAATGGGCAACATGGTGCCATTAAGAAATTAAGTACCCTTCAGCATGGTTGAGTCATATCAATCAAAAGCCTGTTTGCTTAGACTATATTAATGAATTGGAATGGCCAAGTTGAAATCAATATCCATAAATTGCAACTTAAGCAACACGATTTCATTTTAAAACAGATAAGAAATATTGGTGTTGTGAAAGCATTGTGCATGGATGTAGTAGCCTGAACTTAGTAAAATTAGGGTTTATACAGTGTTTCCACGAAAATACGACCTATTCAAAAAGTAAGGCCTAGCCTGATGTTTTGGGGGTAGGCCTAATATAAGCCCTACCCCAAAAATAAGCCCTGTTGAAGTGGGTGGGCATGGCCAGCAGAGGAGGCAGCCCTTCCCGGTCACCTCAGGGCTGCTTGGCCCCTTAAATCGGGATCTGCAGATCAGCTGAGCCGCTCTGGATGCTGCCTCCAGTAAGTGTGGCTGCTTTTGTAGCCAATTGTAGCCGCAAAAGAAGCCGGAGACCAAGCGATGCTCCCCACACCCTCATGCCCTCCTTACCTAACGGTGAGTTACAGCAGGCAATTCCGTCAATGGAACAGCAGCCTTGTGGGTACCGCTTAGGCTGCTGCCTCCAGCAAGCGTGGCCAGGCAGGAAAAGGAGTACAGGCAGGAAAATCCTCGCAATTTTCCTGCCGATTGCTAAAAAGACTCCCCCCTCCCCCAAGCCTTTAGCATATCCCAGGATTGCAATGCTGAAGGATCGGTAGGAAAATGAGTAGGCATAACATTTCACAAAGCTCCTTAATCCACGGCTGCTGGTTCCCTTTGTGCTTTTTATACCGACATACCCACCCTGCCTGGGGCTGCTGTTTCTCTTCCCAAGACTCCATTTCTGAGGAGAGAAGAGAGCTGGGGCGGCATTGGACTTTCCCCGTGCCTTGGCTTCTCTCAGCCTCAACTTTGCTCCTGAAAACCTGCAGGCCACTTCTCTGGTTGAGCTCCATCAGAGCTTGCTTCTGGGAGAGGCTCTTGGAGAGTTGAAGGGGGGCTGAGGACAAGGGGTGAGGCAAAGCTGATCTTTGCCTTCTCTCCCAAAAGCGCTCCTTGGGTGCAGCCACTTCTGCAGCAGGAGATGCGTCCCACACGCCTCACGCTGGCCTTCTGAATGGTACTGTAGCAGCAGCTATCCACAATTTTTTTTCTGTTACTTAGTCACAACCCACGTCTCAGTACGGTGTTAAAAGTTAACATTTCTGAAATGTTACGTAGCTATGGAGGAAAGGAGAATGTGCAGGGAAATCACCCCCCACCTACAGATGGTTCTTTCAAAGAGGAGCCCTCCATAGATGCACATCCAAAAATGCTCCCTCCATGGCTTTGGAGCCTCCAGTCTTTCAGTCCTCTGCAGGGAAGGCAGAGGTTTGCTCCGAAGCTGGTGCGGCAGAGCGTTGCACAAGATCTCTGCAACTACGGTAACATTTCTGAATGTTAACTTTTAACACCGTACTGGGCTACATGGGTCGGGATGAAATAACGGTAAAAACATTGCAGATAGCTGCTGCTACAGTATCCTTCGGAAGGCCGGCGCAAGATGTGTGGGGTGCATCGCTTGGCCTGCTGCTGCTTTTGTGGCCGCAATCAATGGCAAAAACAGCCACGCCTGCTGGGGGCAGTGGACAGAGCAGCAACCATGAGGCAACTGTTCCATGGACAGAATTGCCTGCTGTGACCATCTATTGTGATTTAGGCTTACTGAGTCATTAAAACACACGATTAGTCCCAAAAACCTCTTTTATTACAACAGCTGTGAATTACTTTCACAGCTGAGTTCCAATTAGTTACAAGAAGTCCTTCGGGATACTCACCAATCTTTATCTCCCTTGACACACTGCCAAAGACTTACTTGGCAAAGCCACACAGAGTCCAGAATCAAACAGATGCCGACTGGAAACAGAATTAACAAGGTTGCTTTCCTGCAAAGGGCCCACGTGCCTTTGCTCCTCTTTTAAACCTTATGGGAGGGGGCAATCATCTCCAGGCCTTACTCCCAAGTCGTCCCTTTTGTTTTAACTGTTCTTGCCTTCTGGCAGCTCAGTGCATGCACGCACTAGGAACAGGGTTCCTGTTCCTCTGCCTCTCTGATGTCCAGAGGCTCCAGAGTCCACGCATAACTCCCAAATTGCCCCGGCCCCATCTCTGCCTCCAATCCGAGCCTTCCCCAGACTCCAGGACTGGCCCATGTTCCTCCCCAGCCTTCTCACTGTCTTACTCCGCTGCCAGCTCCACAGGCTGCTGGCGGACCACAACACTATCACTGTTGGGTAAGGAGGGCGTGAAGCGTGTGGGGTGCAATCACTTGACCTCCCATTTCTTTTGCGGTCGCAATCGGCTGCAAAAGCAGCCACACTTGCTGGAGGCGGCATGAGCGGCACCCGCAAATCAGCTGTTCTGTGAATGGTGGGATGGCCTGCTGTGATCCTTCAGGAAGCTGGCACGAAGGGCCGCTCGCCCCACCCCCCACCTCATACCAGTACATGGGAAAAAATACCACCACCCCCAAAAGAAACCCTAGCCGGTTTCTCGGGGGGTGAAAAGAAAATAAGACCCAGTACGGTATAACTACCATACAGAATATGAAAGAAAAAATATTAATCCAAATACTTTGGAAGTCCTCAGCCTTGTAGTGTTAATAGAAAATACCTGGGTAAAAATTATACCATGTTATGTTCAGGATTTTCAACAATACATGGTTAATTGTGGAGTTTATCCCATTTTATTATTTTTACAAATAATATGAACATACCTAAAACACCTTCACCCGCCTATTTCCCCCACAACAACCATCCTGTGAGGTGCTTTGGGCTGAGAGAGAATGACTGGCCAAAGTCACATAGCTGGCTTATTGGAGTTAGTCCAATAACTCAGTAATACCAAAACCAAATAAAAAGCAATTTGCCGTTAAATATTTGTCAAAGAACCAACTTCCATCCTTACTATGAACAGGATTGGTAAAGAAGGAACAACTTTAAGCAATGCAATTCTCTTCTAGCAGTTATTAAAATAACCTCTTGCCATTTTCCTCCCTAACTCATCTGTATATCGATATTCCTTTTAGCACATGGGCACTTACACTTTTTCATGAAATCAATCTTAGTACTTATGAGTGATAATTTGGGACAAGTGTGAGCCAAGTTAAGTCAAGCATATCTGAATCAACAAGTAGAAACTATGGCCAATGGATTGATCATGGCTTTGGTTGGTGTACCTGTTGCAGCATCACCTGGGACAAGATGACTTGGTAGTAGTAAAACTCTCCCTTACCACCACCCAGTTAGACTACTTGTAATGCACTCTACTTGGTGCTTCCTTTTAAAAGTACTTGGAAACAACCATTGATCCAAAATGCAATGGCACAGGTCATTACATTTCTGGATTTCACATTGATTTCAGTTGATTTCCAGGACAAACTTAAGATACTATTATTGATCAATGATGACCCTTATGGGTCGTTAGCTGGGTACCTTCACGATCACCTACTTTCATCAGTAAGTTACACAAGAGAGAAACTGCTCTGACTGCTGCATTTTGAGGTATTTCGGGGACTGAGGTTAAGTGGTAGCGTTCTGTAATAGTGTCAATATTATGGTACGTTTTCCGTGAGAAGATCAGATTCTTTTGGAGAATTTTGAAGATTGAATTGTTTTGGAAAGCTTTCTCTTAATGTTTCTATGTTTGTTTATTTGTACTTTATGTTGTATTTTAAAATTATTTTTGTAGTTGCTTATTTATGCTTAGATGTTTTATGTAAACTACTGAACATTTCTTAATCACAACAGTATAGAAATATGATTAATAAAATAAGTATAAGAAATGTGTGCATTATGGTATATAAAAAGATATGTGAATTCAGTTGACTCTGTTTAATGCATGGCATATTCAAGCAATACATATGCCACAGCAGGTTCTAAGGTTTTCCATTGTTCCCAAATCAGTTATGGATAGGTAATATGTTTTATAATAAAACCAACTTTCATGTGCCTAAGATTGGGGAATTGCATAAGGTGCAAAACCAATAAGAGCATCTAAGTTAAGAAAAAAATTACACAGTGTAAGAGAATGCCACTTTATCCAATAATAATCTCGCCTCTTTTTGCCCCGAGGGAAGATTCTTTGTACAAACATTGATTGGACATAGAATTTATGTACTTCATGTCAATCTTTTTGTGTAATATAGTAATGCTTTTTTTCTCATAGAATTTGATACACTGGCCAAACTGGCAAACCTAATTTTCATAGCATATGATGTTCTTAGCTGTTGTAGATGT